CCTGTTGCCCCCTGCCCCAAGCCACCAGGAAGAAACGGCCCAAAGGGGTGTGGGCGGCGGCTGGCACTCAGGCTCTGGCTGGTGGTCTCTCATCCTCTGCTGGGAGTGCAGTGCCGGGAAGCCCTGGTCCCTCAGTGGTTAGGAGCTTGGTGGACGAAGCTTTCTCCACTCTATTCCTGTCTGGTGAACAGGGGGCCTTTAGAGACCGCTGGGACAGCCAGGGACTGAGATAGAGGACGAGGCATACAGGACCAAGGGGTTTGCCTGTGCCAGCCTCTAGCCACAATGCTGGAGTCCTGGGGCCTTCACTGGGCTCTGATCACGCCCTGCTCCCAGCACTACTTGCTGCCACTTGCTAGGCAAGTAAATATTCACAGGCCGGGACACCAGTGGTGCCCACCAGTGACCCTGCTTCTCAGGCTAGCCCAGGGCCAACCTCTGATAGGCTGCCCAGGCCCAAAGGGGCCCCTGAGCAGGCCAGCCCTCACTGGCAGCCTGATCTCCAACTCAAACAGTGGGAGGCTCAATGCTTTAGGGCCTCTGACTTGGAAGCCGGCCCCCAGCACGGCCCACTCCCTCTCCCCACCCCCAGCCAGCCTGGGCTGCCCCGCTGAGCCTCAGCATCACTTCCTCCTCCACGGCTACCCTAGTGCACCTGGTCTCCCAGATCGCTGCCTGACTCTGGAGGTGCAACTCTCCACTCCACACCAACACTGGAGTGACGGGCAGGGGCGGAGCGCAGGCAGAAGTCAGAAACGGCCTGGACCCCAGCTCAGTCCCCGTCCTGGGAGCTCAGTCCCCAGCCGCTCCTGAAGACAAAGCCTGGGGGAGGGGTGGGAAGAAGAGGCTTGGAGGCCTGAGCTGCCCCGCCTCCCATTCAAGTGCTAATGAACTCCAGCTGGGGTGGAGCGGTTTGGGGGGTGTCGGGGCTGGAGGCCCGGCTGGGTACCAGCCCACCTGGCACCGAGGGCTCTGACACATCCCCCCAGCCCCAGGCCTGAGCTCCCCAGGATAGTCTATCGCTCCAGCTGACACTAACTATTTGCATGCTGTGCTCTCCCCACTTGCCTTGAGCAGCTGCCAGAGGCCAGGGGAAGGGGTTCCCCAGGGTCACCATACTAGGGCCAGGCAGCCTCTAGGATGGGGTGACCCCTTCACACGGAACTCTCTCGGCTCTGCAGAAGCCAGCACAAGGTGCCTCCCCATTCTCCCACCACCAGGCTTTGCTGCGCCCTCTCCACAAGGCCCGTGGCTACAGGCAGGACTCCTGGCCTCAGGTTAGGGGTGGAGAGCAAAACTCCTGCCAGGGGTTCACCTGCACGGGCTTCTCAGGTCTGTGTGACCCCAAGCACTGGCCCAGGGAGGGTGGGCCTCCTCCCCCAGGCCAGGCAGCACTCATTCAAGGCCTTGGGAGTCCGTGTAGGCAAGGTCTTTCTGCCTCAGGTCCTTGCCGAGCTGGCTCCTCTGCGCACAGTGCCCAGCTTTGGCAAATGGCACTCATTTTTCAAGACCACTCAGAGGACCCCTCCTCCAGGAAGCCCCCTTCACAGGCACCAACAGAGTCTGCCAACTAGCCAGGATCCCTGGATATATTCAGCAGCTTTGTTCTTTCCACACACACTTAGTACGCACAGCCCTGTGCTACAGACTCAGCACAGCGGCCACGACTCCTCATGTGAACTTCACCTGGCAGGCCCTTTCTCCGTGCAGGCTCTGTGCTGGCCAGGCCCAGCAGCTCCGAGGGCAGGCCCAGTCCGCACCAGCAGGACCAGCCAGCTCAGGCTGTAGGGGAGTTACTGGAGGGTGAGAGACAGAGAGACAGCAGCTCCGAAGCAGTCGGCAAGCAGCCTGAATCGGAAGGAAAAACGCAGTCGCTCTCCCACACGGACAGCTGGGGTCCTCCCCATTGTGCGCCGTGCACTGGGCCAGGCTGAGGCTGGGCGGCACTTAGCTCTGCAGGGGACAGGGTTGACTCGGAGGGACCCATGGAGCGTGTGGTGGGCTAGGAGGAAGAACCTGAAGAGCTCTGTTCTCAGTGTCCCCTGGGCCCTTGCCACCTGCCCACACCACAGCATGCCGCACTGTGGCCCAGCGATTCCCATCTTACTCTTCCTCCAGTCTGTCCTCACACCAAGAGGACACTTTCTTCATGCAACAAACAGGTGAGAAGCACCCAACAGGTGCCAGGTGCACACTGGGCACAGGAATGAAGGGGACACAGCCCTACCCCCGCAGCCACGAGGGAGGCAACCAGGAGCCAGGGAGATGCCTGACCTGCCCTGGCGGGGAAAGGCTGCTGCGAGAGGCCCCGAGTAAGCTGCGGAGCTCACCAGACGCAAAGTCCCGGGCGCAGAAAGGGAACTGCTGCTCATTACTTCCACGTCTCCACACATTTGGCCACACACACGATCCCATCTTACAGCTGAGCCTCCCCCAGCAACTCTGACTTCCTTCCCCTTAAGCGCCAGTCCTCAAGCCCCAGATTCCATATGGGCCTTGCTGGTCAGTTGAGCTGAACTGGGTAGGGGTGGGGGGCGTCCCTGAAGCAGGAGTGGTAGCGGCTCCTCTGCGTCAAGCTGCCAGGAAAAACCCTCGTGCCAGTGTGTACTACATCTGCCCCTGCCCTGGTGACAGCGACTGTGCCCGCCTCCTGGCAGGGCTACCAGGGACGAGAGGGAGCCAGCGTGCGGGTGGGGCAGCAGGCGTGGTTCTGGCAGACAGAGAAGGCTGGCAGTTACCCAGCCTGAGGCCCGTTGCCTGGACAGAGTCTCCCGCTACGTGAGACAGGCCCCCAGAACTCAGAACCGGCCACAGCCGGGCTCCCACCGCCACCTTCTATCTGGAGGGGAAGGGACGGCTCAAGCCAGGACCCTTCCCCAGCAGCCGCAGCAGACAGGGTCCTGCGGTCCAGGCAGAGCTTGGTTTCCCAGCCTCGTGCAGCTCACACTCTGCAGGGTCTCAGTCCCTAGCCCGCACAGCTACCAAACTCCCGCTCTCTCTGTCCTGCCTGAGGCAGCACTTGTTTGGCCCAAACCCAGGAAGCCCATTTTACAGAGGCAGCAAAGGCCAGAGAGGCCTAACACCGGGATGGACGCCTCAGGCCAGAAAGTGCTGAGCCAGACACTGCACTCTGGCTGCTATGGGCCCAGCGGGGGAGGGGCTGCCAGGTCCCACCTGGTCTGGCCCAAAAGCTTCGCTGGGCTCCCAGGGGCATGCCTGGTGGGACTGGGGGACACTTCGGAGTCGGGGCAAAGAACAGGCCAAGCATCCTGTGTCCCCTGACCCTGCGGCCCACTCCCCTGTCCCCTCAGCCACCAGAAGGGCCGTGATCAGCCTAGGGAGGGCTGGCCAGAGGCTCCTGGCTGGGCGCAGGGAGGCAGCGGGTACCGGAAGTGCCCTCCCAGGCCCGGCAGCGACGGGCATTCCGCCGCGTCGACACCCACTCACCGCCGCTGCACTCGCAGCAGACAGGAAGAGGCAAGCGCCCAACGCAAGGCAGCCCAGGAGGCTGGGCCGCCGCCCCTTCCCGCCCCTTCTCTTCCTCCCCGCGGCAGCAGCGGAACGGATGCCATTTTGAAACCTCCGGGGCTGTGCCCCTGAGGCCGGGCCCGCAGGGACAGTCAACAGATGGGCCCATAATAGAGCTACATGCTTTTCCTGGGCCACAGGCCCAGCGTGAAAAGCTCCGCTTTTCACAGCCTGGAGGCTCCCGGGCCGCTCCGAGGCAGAGGGACCACACCCCCACACACGTACTATCCAGCCTGTACCGCTGTTCGGAGGGCCTGCCCCCACCCGAAACCCCCCCAAACCAGGCTTCCACTGGGCACCACCCCTGCTCCCAGCAGGAGGCTGGCCAGGGACCACCAGCAGACCCAAAATCTTTGCAAAAGGCCAGCTCAGATGCCTGGGGGCACCCTGACCCATCACAGCTGGCCCCCCAACCCCTCGCTCAGCTCCACCACCCCCCTCACACAGCCCCAAGATCCGACAGGCCCACCCCCTCGCGGAGCCCACAGCCCAGGCCCCATCAGCGGATCTCCCTGGCGCCTGCAGGGGCAGCAACATGTCGGCTGTCTCACCACTTCCACTTCCCCCACCACCCCAGCAGCCACCATCTTCCCTGGCCTTGGAAGCAGCCACAACCCCGGCCTCCTCCACATGCCCTCCCACTTCACATACTTCCCTCTCGGCAGCCCAGCCAGGCCTTGGAGACGGGAAAACAAATTCCCAAGGAGCGGAGTCTCCCTGGAAAGTTGAGCCTGGCCCCCTCCCCCAGCGGGACCAGTGGAGCCTCAGCCCAGCCCCTTTGGAGGATTTGCCTAAACGTCCCCTCCCCCCGGGGCGGGGGGTCTTCTCAGAGCCAGGCCCACCTGGTGCAGGAGGAGTGGAGGATCAGGGGGCAGCACTTAGGGGAGGAAGGGCACAGGTGTGGCGAGGGAGGCCTGCAGAGATGGGTCTCTAGAGGTTCTGGCTGGAGAGACAGGGCTCCGGAGCAGCCAGCTCCCACCCTGACGGTCGGGGTGCACAGGTGCAGGGCACAGGTTCAGAGGGTGGGTGGGACACAGAATGGGGCAGGGAGCTGGTGGGGCCCTGGGGATGCTCCTGCCCAACAGGAATCCGGGGAACAGGTAGGGGAAACAGGTGAAGCCCAAGGGTGGAGGCAGAGTGGGGTGCCGGGGTCTGGGTAGCAGCTAACGGAGGATGGAAAGGCTATGTGAGGCTGGTCAGTCGGAAGAGACAATCAAGCAGGGGTCTGGGCAGCGATGTTGGGGCACTGCTGGCTTGGTTAGGGGTTGCTGAGTCTGGGGTGAGCTACCCAGGTCTCTGGGTAGGACCACAGGTCTAGATCAACCCAGAATCGCCCACCCTTATTTGCAGGTCTCGGCCAGGCTGCTAAGGGTTCAAGCCCAGATGGGATCCAGACTGGTGAGCCTGAAGCCTCTGTCTTGTCTCTGTCTTGTCTGGGAAGTCAAGGGTCCCAGCGCGGGGCGCGGCCTCACCCAACAACAGCAACTTCACCTCCCGCGCCGCCTTCTCGCCATCCTCCCGCAAGTTCTTGTCGATCATCTTTGAGCGCTCGGCCGCCGCCTTGTCCTCGGCGCTCACCGTGCAGCCCATCCCGCCGTCCGCCGGCCCGGCCGCCGCCCGGCCCCCACACGGCCCACGGCCCGGCTCGGCCCCGCCCGACCCACTCCGCTCCCGCCGCCGGCCCTCCGCGGGTTAGCTCTCGGGTCGGCAGTTCCGAGCGTCTGCGGGAGGCGCCTTCCCCGTGGCCGCGCACCGACGGCGGGGCGGGCCAGGGGAGGGGCCCCGGTGAGCGGAGCCCGGGACTGGGCCGGGGCGGGCCTGGGGGGCGGCACCGTAAGAGACTCGGGGCTGGCGATTGGCTCGAGGGAGGAGCGAGAGGCAAAGTGAGGCGCAGCCCCGGCTGCGGCCGGCTGGAGGCGGGGCCACGCGGAGGGACCGCGATAGCGGTGGAGCCCAACGGGGAGACCGGGCACTGGGCGGGCTGCAGGCGGGGCCGGGCTCCCATTGGGTACCGGGCGCCCGGAGTCGGCGGCGGGCGGGTAGAGTACCCTGAGGGTGGGGAGCCGGTGCCCCGAGGGCCGAGCACGAGCCCGCCCTCTACAAGTAGGGCGAGAGGGGAGGAGGCGTGTCTTCCTCACTTGTTAGTTAATGTACCCAATAAACTCGTTTAGGGATCTGCAGAACCCGAGAGCCTTTCTGGACTGCGGTTTTGGTGTTTTTTTTTTTTTTCTTTTCAATCTTAAGCGGGTTTCCTCCCTTTCTTTCTCTGGGTAGTAACAAAATCAAAAACAAAAATAAGTCGATTGCCACCTCCACACCTTGACCTGAGCTGTCTTTCTGAGACATCAGAGTTCACGCACACTTCCCTGATCTGCTGGGAGACGGTGTCCTGCAGCAGCCACCCAAGACTGCAGCCTGGGCCGAGCAACCGGGCCACGAAGGAAAGAGGGAGGGAGGGAGGGAGGGAGGGAGGGAGGGAGAGAGAGAGAGAAAGAGAGAGAAAAAGAGAGAGAGAGATGAGAGAGACGTTACCACCGGGCTTCTGGAAACAAAAGTGACTGTGGTCTTGTATCTTATGACCTGTTCCTTCCACGGTCAGTACCACCTCCCATGTCCCCTCTGGCTGGGCAAAGCTGGGGCGCCGGCAGCACTGTTTTCAGCTGAATCTTTCAAGTCTTTCCAATCCTGCTTTCTGGGGGAACCCACAGCCCCAACCTCAGGTGAACGTGGGAAGTGTTGCAGCGTCCTGAGTGGTCCTAGTGCTGTGAGCCTGGGAGAGCCCGGCCCAGAGGCAGGGAAGATCTCTGATGCCAGGCAGGGTGCCTGTGTGGCCACCCACACCCACACCCCCGTCCCCTCCTCTCTAGCGGGCTCCCAGTTCTGAGTCTGTCCGCTCTCCCGGGAGTTGTCTGTGTGTCTCCCTCTGAATGTCTCCCTTGTTGTCAAGTCCCTGGCCTGTAAGTCTCCCAGTGTTCCCCCGCCGCTCCCTCCTGCCTGGAGCTCAAGCTGGCCCGGCGCAGGCAACAAACATGATAAAGACACATGATGCCCTCCAGGGGCAAACACAGAAATATGCCCTCTACATCAGCACCTAGACCCAGCCCCCAGCATGCCTCAAATTCACAGAGCACATTATAAAAATGACTGTACACAACCAAGAACACAAGTCTATCCACACAGACTACAAACGGCTCTAAGGCAGGCCCCTCCCCCGCCAGCCCCGCCCCTCGAGCGATCCTGGCAGCTCAGGCCTCCTAGGCTGCTCCTAGCAACAGCCAACAGCTCTCTCGGTTGCCAGGCAACAGGGAGAACCTGTCAGCCCCTCGGAGGCCCAGCTCTGGGGAGGTGGGCAGGACGCAGACCCCAATTTATGGAGGTGGGTTAGGACGGGGCCCCTGGGAGGCACAGCCCTCTCCAGCCACAGCCCAAGGTTCTGTGGCTCTCAGGCAGCGCCATTCCCAGAGTCAGGCACTTTTTTTCAGTCCTGTGCTCTTCCCATAAGTCCAGTGACCCCTACTTCCATGCCGCAGGCTGCTCCTTCATGTGGGTCCCCAAGGTTGTGGCCAAGCTTCTGCGAGCCACTCCAGGGGCTCAGAGCGCTAAATGCCTGATGACTCTGACTGCCAGCCCCACGGCCACCACTGTTCTGATCTCCCGGGGAACTCAAACCCACACCGTCCAGAACAGGGCACATCCCACTCCTACTGGGCCCTGCTCTGGCCTTGCTGCCACTTCACCGTCCCCTGCCAGAGCAGTACCCCCACCCCCCCTCCTCCAACCCCACCCCGCACATCTGTGCCTGTTGTGTTTCCCCCATTCTAGGCCTCCCCTGTTTCCTCTAATCCGTCCTCCACAGGGCAGCCAAGGGGCTCTGCCAAAAGTTACCACATCACTCCCTCGTTCAGGAACCCTTGGTGGCTCCCCAGTGCCGGGAGTAGAAGGCGCACAGGTTCTGGTGTGGGCTCTGTAGGAGGAGAGGGCTCCAGAGTGTCTGGGAAGCAGCCTGCAACCTTGTATCCGACACTCCCTGTTCCTCAGTTGTGGGACAGGTAAAATGCCTCTCCAGGAGGAACATGCAGAATGCAGCCAGGAGAAAGGGAGGAAACACAGGGACAGCTGTGCAGAGCGCAGGACACACAGGAGGAAAGCCCTCCACAGAGCCCGCACCGGGGCTGAGTCCTACCAGTGATTCCTGCAGGGCCCCAGCGGGCTAACGCCCCCTGAACTCTACTTCACCCTTCCTCGTGCTGGCCTGCCTCGCTTCCCCCCTGCCCACCATCCTCCTACCCTGTTAATCCCCCTCCCCATTTCTCTCACTGGCTGCAAGCTGGGCTCTCTGACTGCCCCCCCCCCCCCCCCCCCCCCCCGTCCCCAAGCCACATCCAAGATCCCAGCGATGAGTCTCTTCCACCCAGGTCCCTGATTCCAGGCCCCTTACAGGGCGGCAGGCAAATATTTGTCAAGTTAAACCAACGGATTACCCCAGCCTACCTCACCCTACCAGGAGCTCCTCATCCTGGGGCTGGGAAGGGTATAAACAATGCTCTTCCCAGCCCTGTAACCATGTGCACCAGGGCTGTGTACAGGGAAGGACAGCTGTGCCTCCACACTCAGGAAGCCAGGAGTGCTTTCAGGAAAGCTCATTTCAGGGGCACAGGGCGGCTTCCTAGTCAGAGCTGCGTGAGTACCAGAGGAGGCATGGCGTGTCCCCGTGCCCACTAGCCCAGCACCAGACTGACCAGGAGCACCGGAGGAGGCATGGCGTGTCCCCGTGCCCACCAGCCCAGCACACCCACACTGGACCATGAAGGGCTTGCAGCAGAGCTGGGGATGGCATCTTTGCTACAACTGAGAAGCAGCCGCTGCCAGTGCACCCCAACAGCCAGGAGGATAACCTCAGGGCTCCCCACAGGCCACTGAGCGCTCTGGTCAGCTCTGTCTCTGTCAAGTAGCAGCTCGGAGCAGGTGAGGAAGGGAGTCCTCTTCAGTGGCTGCGACAGCCCAGGAAGGGGAAGCTGCTAGCACTTCCCCAAAGGCAGTTTCAGGTGGGGCCTGTCATCCCTCGCCCAGGACCAGGCAGGACCCTCTGGGGATGCCCAGAATCCAGAATCCTCACCACCTTACTCCCATGGCTCCCAGGTGATCTGGGAGACAAGACCTGGGCTGCTTCTGCTGTGGCTCTCCGTGGCCACAGCTTGCTCCTTCCCTGCAGCCCCGAGCCGAGCCGGCTCCAGCCCTCCACCTCCTCGCACCCCCGGCACTTCCCCCTCCTACTCCTTGGCCCAGCAGCAGTTCCAAGACTGTCAGCCATCCTGCCCTCCCTCCCCTCCCCCAGACCTCTCTTTCTCCCAGGGGAACGGCCCCAAGCCTGGGGACTCTGGACCCCAAGTGCCCCCTTCTTCTTTTTTTTTAAATTTTATTTTTTGACAGGCAGAGTGGACAGTGAGAGAGAGAGACAAAGAGAAAGGTCTTCCTTTGCCGTTGGTTCACCCTCCAATGGCCGCCGCGGCCAGCGCGCTGCGGCCGGCGCACCGCGCTGATCCGATGGCAGGAGCCAGGTGCTTCTCCTGGTCTCCCATGGGGTGCAGGGCCCAAGGACTTGGGCCATCCTCCACTGCACTCCCGGGCCACAGCAGAGAGCTGAAGGTCCCCCTTCTTAATCAGCCACTTTCTTCACAGAAAACTGACTTTGGCTCAGAGTACTCAGGCTCCAGCACTCCTTGCCAAGAAGTTTCTAGATCAGGCGAGTCCCCATCCCCCCCATATGCCTGACACAAGGGGGCGGGGTTCGGGAAGGGTCACCTGTTCCAGCAGTGTTTACTATGAACCTATTGTGTGCCAATGTGCTGAGAATCCTAGGGTAAGGGCGGCAGGTGGACCCTGCCCCCAGGAGCACACACCAAACAAGCTCACAGGGGAGTGAACTCCACAGTTTCAGAGGGAATCTACAGGGTAACCACAGAGGCCCTGTGAGGGCTGGCTGGGGGCACAGTCTGGGGAGGGGAATTTAAGTAATGGGATAAAACTAGTCATGTGACAAACCAGAAGACAGCGACAGGCAGAGGCAACAGCAAGTTGGGGGGAAGGGACTGCCAGGAGGCGTTGCTAAGAAGGCAAACGGGGCTCCCAAGTCCCCAGGAGACGCTGAGGTAAAGACACCACTCTTGGACGGCACCAGGGCTCACTAGGCTAATCCCCTGCCTGCGGCACTGGCACCCCGGGTTCTAATCCCAGTTGGGGCACCAGATTCTGTCCCAGTTGTTCCTCTTCCAGTCCAGCTCTCTGCTGTGGCTGGGAGGGCAGAGGAGGATGGCCCAAGTGCTTGGGTCCTGGTTTCGGATCGGCGCAGTGAACCAACAGAAGAAAGACCTTTCTGTCTTTCTCTCACTGTCTGTAACTCTCTTTCTCTGTCTTTCTCTCTCTAACTCTGCCTGGCAAAAAAAAAAAAAAAAAAAAAAAAAAAAAAAAGCCACCACTCTCTCCAACCCAGTGACCTGTGTCTAGCCCTGTAAACCCCAGTATCCTGACTCTCAGGTGCTCCTGACAGAACCAGGAAGGAGCTGCCCAGGACCCTGGCGGGAGAGCCGGAGAGCCCTCAAGGCTTTGGAGCCATGGTCTGAGCTGAGTCTCGTCCCTTCTCCTTGAAGAGTTCACAGTCCAACCTGCCACTGTGCCTGTGCCTGCTGCATACGGAGCCTCCAAAGGCCACCTCCCCGGGGAAGCCGGGGTCCTGGGGGGCCTGGGAAATGCTCATCAGCACCG